TTTTTTTTTGACATTACATGAGAAAGAGGAAGAAAAACATATGGTAAATGTAAAATATAAAATGCATGAATTTCAGCTTGAAATAACAAAAACAGTACTTGACACTGATTTTTTTGTACGTTATACCCTTTTACCTTTTCAGTTCAATATTTAATTGTTTTTTATAACTTAAAAAAAAATTGTTAACACCACTGATTGACTTGATCTTATAGAAACAGTTTCTGATTTCTTATTTTATTTTTTAGATGAAATTATACAGTATATATCGTTCGATTATAGGCTCTGATAGATGAATCATCAAACTATTTGTTTATATGTCTAAATGTGATTAAAAGTAAAATATTTTCTAGTCATTTTTCTTTTGCGTGTAAATGGATGAAGTTGATGTTATTGGCCCAGAACAACATCCTTTAGAAGTGACCACATCTACAAATATCATTAATAATGATAATTATGATGACTTAATTGTACGTTTACCAGATCCAATTATTATTCGTGGTTCAGGACATGTGACAGTATTTGCATTAAATAGTAAATTTGATGATGAATATCCACAACAGTTAATGGCACGAGTTGCTCGTGATGAATACAGTGAAACAATTAAACGTGTTAATACTATTCTAAGAAAAAGTGTACCAATTAATTTTAAATGGTAAAGAGAATTCTTTATCAATTACGATTGATTATAATTTATTATCATGTCTTTTTTTTTTCTTTCTTTAAGGTTATTGTGTGGATGTATATGTTGTTGCTGTACAATTGGTTTATCGATGTGTCCCGTATTTTGTTTAAATAAACGTTCAAAACATGCTGTTAATAAAATACTTGAATGGGAAAATCAACGTCTTTATCATAAATTAGGTAATAACTAGATATCATTTGATATTCAATCTTAATTAATTGATAATTTTAATATATTGTTTAGGTTTACATTGGAAACTTGATAAACAAAAATGTCAAAATAATGCTGTTCAAGAATATGTATTAATGATAGAATTTCGTCCAAAGTTAACGTTAACAAGACCGGACTGATATACTTTACTATTATCAATAATTATAATTCTATATGTTTAACAAATCATTAGTATTTGCATTTTTTTTTTCTACTTTCATATACGTGTAAATAATAACATTCTAACAGATGAAAAAACAACTGTGCTTTATTTTATTTTTTCAAATGAAGAATTTTGCATACTATACTAAAATTCATTGATTATTATCAAGTAAAAGTCTTTCATCTAAAAAAAAACTTAAGAACAACTTGGTTTTTATTACTCAAAAACGCATAACAATTTCTTTTTCAAATCAGATATAGCCGACGCCATATTTTGACTAGTGTAGTTTTGAAACAATTTTTTTTTTCTACCAAACAGAATTGTTCTTGTTCTATTCTCTGTGATATAAAAACAATAAACTATACATACCCCACAGAAACATAGTCTTTGATTTTCTTTTTTTGATCATTTTTAAATCTAGTTTTAAAGAAAATAGATGTACTACTTACTATGAAGATAAAATTGGTCTATATGTCTGAATTGAGATAAATGGATGTATAACTAAAGATATGAATTGTTGTTGTAGTCTTAGTTTTAGCGTTGAAGATTATCTCCTCAGTTACATAGTCGCTTAGGATTTTTGAATAGTGTGTGTGCAAAGTTTCAGTTTTTCTTTTGAAAAATGTGTGCATATTTTACTCTCGTTTTATGCGTCAAAACAATTTTTTTTGTGGTTATATTATTCAATCATTTTTGCATCTTCTATGATCACTCGTTTGTTTGTTATCTTTAATTTTTTTCTTTCTAGATATAGTTCTTGTACAGTTTTGTACGTTGAACAAATCAATATTTTTATCTTAATTAAACGTTACTTATTTTTAGTATAATAGATACATATGGCATTAGAACAAACACAAAATGAGTACAATTGTACTCAAATCGGATTGATAAGTGGTCACATACACATCAATCAAGTATCAAATGTGATATAAATTTTAATTCAGTTATGAAACTTGACAAGTATTTTTGGGAAATGCATTCTCAAAAATACCTGTCAAGTTTCATAACTGAATTAAAATTTATATCACATTTGACACTTGATTGATGTGTATTTGATCACTTATGGTTCGAAGTAAAATCATTTATCAAAACAAAAAAAATATTAAACAACATTTCATCCTGGAAAAAATGAAACAATAGTCAATTTACAATTATATATTAGAAAAGTCTATTGTAATTCTAAAACCAAATTAAGCAGTATTTAGAAAATAAATATCTAGGTGTTTTGTGAATTATTGGCTATTCTCTCAACAAAATTATTAAACGATATTTAATATTTAAAATAAAAAAGGCTTCTTTTTTTCTTATCCATAATATTGCTTTAGATAGATTTAAATCGTGTAGTTCACGAAAAACTTTCACTCGATTTTTTTTCATTTTTTCTACTATTCAGATTTTTGATTTGAATACTTTGTAGAAAAGTCTTCTTTTTTTTGTGATAGTTAGTTAGCTAATGTATGAGTATGCCAAGAGAAAAGATAGACATAACTGTTGTATGATCGGTGTAGAGAAAATCACTAGAAACTCTTGTTAACTGTAATTGTTCTATTTGATTTGTTCCATATTCCCGATTAAATGCATCTCTCATTCTTTTTTTCATTTTTTTTAGATTGCTTTTATATCGTACTCTGTATTTTTCCTCATCAGTCAATCATGTCTGCACCTTCAACATCAACAGCTCCGACACAATCAACAGCTATTCATCATGCAATTGTTAAATCTGTTGTATCCGGTGATACTGTTATTGTTAAACCATTAGTAAAAACACCATCTGATTCATCCTTATCAACAATATCATCAGAAAAACGTCTTGGTCTCAATTATATTATGGCACCAAAATTAGCTTTACCAAGTTCAAATCAAAATAATGCGTCAATACCAACTGATGAACCATGGGCATTTGAAGCACGTGAATTTTTAAGAGTAAAATTAGTTGGACGAGAGATATGTTATACGAATGCATTTGATATACCAAATAGTGGAAGAACTGTTTGCACAATGTTTCTAGGAAAAGATGTAAATACTGGTGAAAACATTGCCGAATCATTATTGTCAGAAGGTCTCGTTGAATTACGACCACAAACAGGCGCAAGAGCAAATGATGTAAAATACCAACGTTTAACTATAATTGATCAACAAGCTAAGTTACAGAAAAAAGGTCGACATTCGAGTGATTCACCGTCAAATCATATACGAGATATTAAATGGACATTAGATAATCCAAAAGCATTTGTTGATGCAGAAAAAAATCAAATGCCCATTGATGCTGTTGTTGAATTTGTTCGTGATGGTTCAACTGTTCGATGTTTACTATTACGATCACACCATTTAGTAACAGTAATGTTAACCGGTATTAAATGTCCACAGTTAAAACGAGAAGGTGCAGGTGGATCAGATGTTAGCGAACCATATGCCGAAGAGGCAAAACAATTTGTTGAAACAAGATTATTACAACGTGAAGTAAAAATACGATTAGAAGGTGTTAATAATCAAAACTTAGTCGGAACAGTGTTACATCCAAAGGGAAATATTGCATTACATTTACTTAAAGAAGGCTTGGCCAAATGTAGTGATTGGAGTATTGCATTATTATCTGCAGAAAATCGAGAACAATATCGTATAACAGAAAAATATGCCAAAGAAAATCGCTTAAGAATATGGACAAAATATGTAGCACCAATCCACGCAACATTTGAGAATGAAAATAATGGTGATACATATAGTAATACTACCGATGGAAAATTGAATGATCCAACATTAAAAGGATATCAGGTTAAAAATTCATTTTTTTTAATGTTTCATTCTTTTCTGAGAAAAGAAATGAAGAATAGAAGTATCTACCAGTTGGTTTTTAGATCAGTAGTAGAACAGATTATTTATCGTAGTTTTGAAAAGATTTCGTTGATGCTGTTTTCATTTCATTCTCTCATAGTAGGTGATAAGTATTAGAAGAAAAGAGCCATTCTATTGTAATATACAATGGCAATTGTCTGAAAGAGTGCATATACCTGAATCGGAACTGCTTTTATAACATATTTTTCTCTTTTCAGGCTAAGGTTACGGAAATAAGCAATGCCGATAGTTTAACTGTACGTAAACAAGATGGCTCAATTAAAAAAATTTATTTATCGAGTGTACGTGCACCGCGTGCTGTTGATCTAATTAAACCTGGTGAAGATGCACAACAAAAACAAATAAAACGTCCGCTATATGATATTCCATATTTGTTTGAAGCACGAGAATATTTACGAAAACGTTTAATTGGTAAAACTGTTCGTGTTGTCCAAGATTATGTTCAACCAGCGGCTAATGAGTATCCAGAAAAAGTATGTTGTACAGTTTATATTGGAAATGTCAACATTGGCGAAGCACTGATTAGTAAAGGTAAGTGAAGAATATTTTAAATATTATTGATAGATTGTAATGTATTTGTATTTTAGGTCTAGCAAAAGCGTTAAGACATCGACAGGATGATGAAGCACGTTCATCAAAATTCGATGATCTAATAACGGCTGAACAACAGGCGGAAAAAAAACAAGTCGGTCTATTTTCACAAAATTCAGCAAGTAGTGGTGGAATTCGTATAATCGATTTAACGGGTGAAACGAATAAAGAACGAGCAAAACAATCCTTAAGTGTTTTTCAACGCACAGGACGAATGGAAGGCATTGTAGAATTTATTGCAAGTGGTTCTCGATTTCGTATACATTTGATAAAAGATAATCGGTATATATCGTATTGTTATTTCAAAATCTGTTCGCTAAATTTCTGTTCATGTTTCTTTCAGAATAATATCATTTTTGTTATCTTCGATCAGTTGTCCAAAAGCTGAACGACGTATTCCTCCTACTGCTAATCAACCACAACGAATTGAACAAGCTGAACCCTATGGACAAGAGGCACTCGCATTTTCAAGAGAACATTTTCTACAACGTGATGTATTTGTTGAGATCGACAGTTGTGATCGTGGTGGAAATTTTTTGGGTAGAATGACAACGGCCGATGGACAATCAGCAGCATTAATGTTAGTGCAAAATGGGTTCGCTAGTTTACATGAAACGGCGTATAATAATGCATCAAATTATAAACAATTACAAGAAGCCGAAGAAATATGTAAAAAGAATAGAATTGGTATTTGGTCAACATATGAAGAACCAACAACGAAAGAAGGAGATGATGAAGCTGAAGATGAAGCAAATCAAGAACAAGGTAAGTTCTATGAGAAAAGAGTGGCAGACAGTCTATAGTAGAAGAGGGATCGGTTCATGTTATTCTGAAACTGAACCAGTCCTCTGTCTTTGGTCTGTAGTTTTATTTCCTTTTACTCATATCAAAGTCGTAGTTTGAAAAGCGACTTTTTTCGGTCAATTTTTCGTCTTCGGGGAATAGAATAGAAAGTATAAACGAATTACAAAAAAAGACATCGAAAGGTCTGACACTGTAGTTAGCAGAAGAATAACTGAGCTCTACTTCTTAGAAGAGCCTTTAATTTATCCAAATTAGTTTAAATTTTCAACTTTTTTAACGTTTATGAACTCTGGCATCGCACTATCTATTTGTCAGTTATATCTTAGACGCTAATTGGTTATATGCGTCAAACTCGTGATCTGTATAGGAATCTTTTTTGTCACTTTAGCTGTCCAGGAACAAGGTGATATCTCGAACAACTTTAGTGATCCACGTTATCGTCATGTGCAAGTCACTTATGTTTCGTTGGATCTTAAAATCTATGTTCAATATGCTGAAGACGGAAGTAAATTAGAACGATTACAACAAGAGTTACGCGATACTTTTAGCCAACAACAACCGACCGGCGGACATATGCCTAAAAAAAATGAAGTTTTAGCTGCACGTTTTACAGATGATAATGAATGGTATCGTGCACGTATTGAAAAAATAGAACAAAATAAAATTTCTGTGTATTTTGTCGACTATGGTAATCGTGAAACAATAACTGATACATCACGTTTGACATTATTGCCACCGGGTCTCAAACAATTACCGGACCAAGCACATGAATTCGAATTAGCCTATATTAAACCATCACCTGACGAGGAAGATCGTCTAGAAGCAAAACATGTTTTGAGTGAGGAAATCAACAATGAAGATTGCCTATTAAAAATTGAATATCGTTATCAAAATGTTGGATTTATTTCATTGTATAAAGAAAGTACAAAAGATAATTTAGGTAAATTATTACTTGAACGTGGTCTTGTTATGGTCAATCAACCAAAACGACAACAAAAACAACAACGTTATTCATCACAAATTATCGATGATTATATTCAAGCCGAAACATTAGCTAAGACAAAACGTTTGAATATTTGGCAATATGGTGATATGCAAGAAGATGATGCAGCTGAATTTGGTTATACGGGTAAACGATAAGATAGAGCAATTTTTGTTTTTAATTTTTAGAAATTTGTTATTTTTTGTTGTTGTTGTCGGCTATTTCTCTCATATACACACACATACACATACATATACGAAAATCAAATTATATTCTTCCAGTATAAACACTACTGTTGATTATTTTGTTTTAGTTTATTGTAATCAGAAATGCTCAAGAGAATTGTTGTCTTGTTTTTTCTTCTTCTTCCGATGAGATTGTATACACACATTTGAGCATCTCTCTCTCTCTCTCTCTTTTCCCTTTGATTCATTTTTCTTCATGTTCCTTGTTTGTTTTAGCTGATTCGAGGGTTTATTTATAATAAGAAAGAGGCATTATTGTTGTTAGTTTTGTTGTTCAAGAGCAAAGAAATAAAAAAATTTTGTTACTTGTTAAGTTTTTTTTCTTTTTTTCCACTCTCTTTAGCTGGTTTTGGGATCATTTTTCTTATTTCGCGTGTGTATTTTATGTCTTGAACAGTTTTATGGAGTTATATAAAAATGGTTAGAAAAAAATCCGTAAATAACTTCCTCAATTCTAGATAAGCATAAACAGTATTTTAATTCGTAAATAGTGTTCATTAGAATTTTTACGATTGAAATTGCATATTTTCTCTACGCTCTCTTGTCGAATGAACAGAATAGAGCAAAAATGTTAAGATCGATATTTTTATCAAAATTTGTTTTAGAAGTTTAAACGTTGGAGATAAATTTTATGATTTATACGAACCAATTTGTTTCATAATATCATTCTTCTCATATTTACTCAAAAAAAATTTCTTCAAACATATTTCAAATTAAATATTTACCGACATATGAAAATATCAATACATGATCATACTGCATGTGAAATTAAATAACTATGATGACATGACATTGTTGTTTAATATAATCTCTTAACGATAATTCAAATTTGTTCTAATATTATTCATCAAAATTTTCATGATGTATCCATTTGAATAAAGAAATTTGCGATAACTGAAAATCTTCAGACACAGTATCGATTATATTTCATGTGTACATGAAATATGTAAAAAAGAAAACATCTGAGCAGATTAATTGAAATTAAATGAAAAGAAGCTTTATAAAGTTTTTGAATGAAAATCGATGACTGTTTACTCAATTTTGCATTAATTGTTGTTCTATTATTTCAATAAACAGAATTTTTTCATGTTATTTGAATTAATAAATTCTTGAACATAAATAAACATTTGTAAGACATTAAAGAATAACAGTTAATATCTTTATATTGTTGTTCCTACACATTATATACGCACTCATTTTTACTGATCATAAACTACCGTATTCTAGATAGTTAGTTCCTTCTTTTTCTAGACTAGAAAAGTGCTTTCTATTTGAGTGAGTCAAGGTACATAAACATAAGTAGTTTGCCTAAGGTGAGGAGCCAAGGTTAGTACATAGTACTTTTGTTCCCTTGACTATAGAAAGAGTCTTAAAACTTCTAAAATGTGATAATAATTTTACTTGAAAAAATGTTTCATGGCTACAAGCTATAAGATTTTGCTTGATTTAAAAATTCATTTTTTATAAATAACGATCAAATTAAGAAATTCGCGCCTCGTGTTTTAAACTGTATTGTGTCTATTGTGAAATTGATATTTGTGAGAACAATTATTAACCAATCTTATTTGAGTTTTTTTATTGTAATCCAAATTATAGTCAAGGGACAGTGTGATGCACAAAGTGCTTCATGTTATCTTGTAGTAATGTATGTGACGGATAACATAACATTCAAGCTGTTAACATCAGTAGATGCTTTAGGTAGAAAATTATGTGTAGATTGTATTATGACTATCTATTGGACATGAAAGTGAGTAGGCCAATACTAGATTGGACTAAATCGGACTTTGGACGCCCACATATATTCTGTAAAATAATCAAAAACAGACTAATTTCTCCCTGAATCCAATACACATTTGCTTACGCTTCACGTTTGTAACTCATGCACAACACGATTGTACTGTAGTTAGTAGAAAAGACATTCAAAGTTCAAATTTATTTTGCATAAGCAAGAACATCATAAAGAAAGTAAACGTTTAGTAACTTATAACATCTGGTAAACAGAAGTCTTAGTGATACCTGTATAACTAAAAACACACAACTAAAAAGACGTTAAGGTTTTGAAAAACTGAAGTTGTCAGGGCCAAAAGCATTATCCGAATTTTACTGTACGTGTACAGAAGCGCCGTGAAACACTAGAATCTGAGGCGGAGGATAGTTTTTAAAAATGGGTAGTAAATTTAGGAAAAAATTCTTCTACTCAGAAACTTTCCGGAATGGGAGGATATTCTTCAGAATAAGAGAAAAGTAGAATTAACAGTTGGCTTTGGAGTAAATACAAAAAAGCAGAGAAACTATTTCCCTTTCCCACGATTGTAACGCTTCTGTTCGTATATATTCAATCTTTAAATCGTTTACGAAAAACTGAACACGGTGTTACATATGCGTGGAGTTTCTTCTGTGCTATTTATTCATAGGGTTATTTTTCAACGTTTTAAGCCCCTCCCTTTATCGCTAATATTCAATAATAATTTGTTTGTTGTTGTTTCAAGTAATAATCGTTAGATAGATGTTCTTGAATAATTGCGCATACTGCTTGATTCTTCAGCAAAATGATTAGTGTTTTTTTGTTTATTATTTTAAATGTATTTCGCCTCTTCAAAACATGATATTATGTCATCTCAACCGGCTATCTACAAGGATATCTTATATTAATCATTTTTCAGTTCATGTCATGCAGTGTGATTTAATATCTCAAACAGAATGTGTATGACGATTCGAATACCTATCATAATTACGATATAGTTTTATATCTCACATTTAGAATAGTCTGATTTGAGTCTATGTTTAAATCATATCAAAAGATGCTTGCAATTACCTATTTCCCGAAGTACTAAGGATTTCTATAGATGATATAAGTTATTTGCTACATTATATATGATTGGTTTTCGAAAACGTTAGAGATTGTAAACGTATCGTATCTCACATTCCTAAACGTTACATCGTGTTGTGACCTTTTATGCATATCAAAGAAAAACGCATTATTTTTAACAATTTTTTTTGTTACAAATCTTCTCTGATTGCTGTATACTACAATTTTATATAATAAAATGTTTCCGCAGTTATCAATCAATCAGAGGTTTTCCTGATATTAAACAGTTGATCAGATATATAAATCGGGATCAGTGGAAAATATATTCCAATTGGGATATTTTTAATATTTTGCTTGAACTATGTAGTTTTGGTGAATATAGAATGACTGGAAAACAGATTTTCACTTCACGAAAATAGAATCAGCAACAGATTTTCATCCTTTGTTTAATAGACTAGATAGTCTCGTACTATACGGCAACGTCCTGGGACTAACGGACTTCATTCTATAAACTCATGCAAAATGGATATCCCCCATGTTGTCGAAATCGGAGGAAAACCGGTGGTTAACCGCCGGTTTCGACAACATGAAACATCAACCAGCAGACTACACTGTCATATGATGTCCAGTATTTCCATATGCCATATTAGATTCAGTGACAAAAGATACTACTATCAGATATGTACAATATAATGGTCTTTTTCTTTGCTGCCTCTTTTGTCCCGTTTTTGCAGATGCTTTCCAATAACATATTTCTTCATCTAATATGAAGGTTACAACAACATTCAGAGAGAATATCAAGACTTTCGCAATAATAATATTCAATTGGGAGATGCTTGATTACTAATGATTGACTAACAGCTTTAAGAGTGGGCGAGATAAGCTATAATGATGCGAAAAGTCACTAATAGGTTAACCCTAGATGCAAAAATGAGAAATTCATTATTCAGAAAAAATCGATTTGTACGCATTATATTCATGACTAAATGTTCTAAAAAACTCACTGTGCAAACATGATTATTAATTTATTATTCATTTCTTTAGAAAATAGTTTCCATCATTCATCGTACTGAATAAATATTTTTCAGTGCGGATGAGAGAGAGAGAGAGAGAAAATAAATGTACATTATTAAAATAACACAACAAAATATATTTCTTTCCTTCAAAATTGTTTTAAGAAGAAGAATAAGTTACTTTACTATACTCATTCATCGGAAACACGAAACGAGGCTTTATTTCATTCAACATTCTCACATATATAGATGACAATGATTATGATCTATTCTCATATGCTTGGGCCTCTTCGAGCATAAAATAAAACAAAGGTGTATCGAAAAACTTGCATTTACATTAAAGTGAATAGAACATATAATGATACTCGATAAGCTAACCATATATATACGGTTATGACCGGTTAAGTGGGTGTAATAATAAAGTCATATGTTTTCTAACCACATATTGTCCTAAATTAACGATTTTCATTTTATACTATAACTATTTCGCCAATAGCTAAACTACTCTTCTTATCAGATGAATATGCAACACTATTTATAATGAGTTCAGTAATAAATCAAGCAAACATTTATTCACTTCCTCGACCAGCATATAGTAATAACTTTAATAACTTGAACAACATGTCCATGTACGAAACACGATTAAGCAAACTTCATCGATTGTTCAAAAATCAATATCATCATACGGAACCATCGTTAGTATTAGATCCATATTTGTTTCTTGGCAATTGTATATCGGCACATGATGTTAATCGTTTATCAAAACTTGGTATTCGTTACATTCTCAATGTAGCTAGTCGTGATGTAGAAGTATGTCCTTACTATGGAAAAGATTATCGAACATTACAAATTGATTTACGCGATGATGAACAAGAAAATATTTTACAAGTATTAGAAAAAGCATTTGCATTCATCGATGAAGCAAAATTAAATAAATGTCGAGTTCTTGTTCATTGCAGTCATGGTCAAAGGTGAGTTTGTGTCATTGACTTCTTGATTATGCATGTCAATTTTAGTCTTCTTTTTGAATCTTCATCTAGTTATTCTCATCTACTCAATATAATTTTAATTTTTCACTTTCTAGTCGTTCACCAGCTATTGTTATTGCTTATTTGATGCGTACATACAATATATCGTTAGAACAGTGTCTATCACATGTTATCAAAGCTCGTCCGTGTGTATCACCGAATGATGGATTTCTCAAACAATTGATATTGTACGATAAATTATTAATGGATAGAAAAGGGTATCTTAGAAATAGTCATAAAATACAGTCAAATGCGACAAACGGTATTCATTCGATTCGAAGTGTAGATAGAGATTTAGTAAAAATTCCTGTTCATCATGATCAACAACAACTATCTCAATTTAATGGACCACCACCACTGACAAAATCACAATCAAATGATCAGCAACTTCCGTTGAAAACAGCCAATTTTGGAGATACAATAGTAAATGTGTCAGAACAAAAGTCAGATGTTCAAGTTATTCCCATTCAAATTCCATCAAAAACTCAAAATGTTCAAAGACCATCACCTAATAGTCCAAGACAGGTACATAGTATGATTTGTTTCAATGGACATTTTATGAAAACTTATTTTATTTCAGGATGACGTTCAAAAATTCCCGTTTAGAGAAGATAAAAGTCTTCAGGATTTACCAGAACAAATGGCTGCAGCAAGTTTAAGAGAGACAATAACACTAAAAGCAGCTCGTGTTCCATCCCGTGATGATCTGTATCCAGCTAAACGACAGTGCACATCAAACGCACATCTTTACGGTTATGTAACACCACAAGTATCGATTACTGAATATTTTCCACAAATTCCGTTCATGCATGAAAATCGAGCAAATTATATTACAGAAATTTACGATAAAGCAACAAACCGTTTTATACCTGGATATTTCTAAACTCATTATTGTTTATTGCACAAAGATTATTTTGAATTAAGACATCTTTCACAATTTAAAATTCATTAACAGAAAATCATCTGTGATATTGAAAAACAATTTGTTGCTATTGTTCGCATTGCGTTTCTCGACTAATTATCAAACAGTTGACTATGACTTTTTACTTTCAAAGATGCTATTCGAATGTATTATTTATATTTCAGTTGGCCTTGTTTTTACTATAAATACAATAATATAGAATAGTTTAAAGGATTCTTTTACATAATGAACATTTCCCTAAAGAAAATGATGGCTATAATTTCTTTCGATTATAAATAATTTCAAAAAGTGGTGAATTAAAAGATTCAACTTAGTTTGGATACTGAAACGAATAGAACGTATTTTTTTTAACGTGTTAATTCAGAGAAAAAATTCCGATGGAACCTGCATAACTCTTATAAATGTCCATAGTTCTATTATCAAAAAGACTTCTTAAAGAAAGTGTGCCATCGTTTGTTCTCGAATTTTGTACAGTCTTGACTATGTGAAGAAAAATAGTGCTATATGTAAGTCTCTCATTTAGCACGACATCTACTAAAATATGTTTTTTATTATTATGATGTTTTCCTTGACACGGTTTGTGGATTTTATTTCGTCTGAAAAAAACATTCTCATGTTAATTTATAGCAGCAAAGAAAACAAATAATAATTAACATTAAAAAAAGTATAACCTTGTGATGTCATTGAATTAAATTGTTTTTTATGGACTATGTATTTATACGCTCCTTTATTGGTACGTAATACAATAGAATGACCGAGCACAATGAAATAACTTTTCATTAAACAATCATCGTAAACAAAAATGTGTCTTAAAATGTGATCACGTGCAAGATGCAGCGACATTCATATCTTCTAATATAGTCTCGTTTCAAAGAAAAATCACATAATGATCATAAAATGAAAACAAAAATTACACTATTAAAGAGTGACGAAGCCATGATGTATTAGAAAGTTATTAAAGCGCAATAATGAAAGTTAAAATTATCATCTATTATAAGTTCTTTAACTTAACGAATTTCTAGACGATGAAATACGTTAAGCTGATATCTATGTATTTCACGAATAGTCAATAATTAATAAAACATTTCCATTCTATTACTCATACTGGTAATACTCGATGCTTTCTAGTAGTTCTAAATCATGAATAAATTCTTCCTCAAAGAAATAGAGGATGTTGAAATATTTAGGAATAATTTCTTCTTCAACACAATGCCATCAGTTGTCAGCTTGTCAAACATTTTAGAAAACATTTACTTGGTATTTTAAACGTTAAACAATTCACAAGAAATAATTGCCATTTTGCTTAGTGATGATGTCAGAGTGCGAAATATTGAATGTCAGTGTATAATCAAAGAAAACTCTATCATTCTGGTTGATATTGAATTTCTCCTGTTAAAAACGTATGAGACATAGTGAAAATAAGAACAAAATTTCGAGGAGTGACTCTTTTTACCCTATAGCACTTAATAGTGGTCAACTGTATGCACATACACACACACACCTCCTACCTCCAAAATTTGATAGTTTTAGAAGTCTTCCAGAACTTCGAGTAGGCGTTGTATGCATAATTTTGACCATCATCATAATTCAATAAAACTCAATATACAACGAGTTGTATCTGCATAGAAGAAGAATATACCCTTACCTATCGGTGTAGGGTGAGGGTCAACAAACTACAGTAAAAGCAGAAAATGAAAGATGTTTAGGGTGCACTCTGGAGAATGAAACAGCGTTCATTTGGTTTGTTTCCTGCTGTCCATCGTAGAGCACTGGAGGTTAAGGTATATCGTCAAAGTATCACCTCCAGGCCATAAGCGGACCTGGCTTCAATAGTACCCATCATTTCGCCAGACCGTCCATGCTCAGCCTTTTTGACAATCCACTAACTAATTAATTGATATCTCGTTTTTCTTGCATCATTCTCTTGCACAAGTTTTCACATGCCTGGTAATCCCTTGCGGTTTAAAAGATTCCCACATTGGTTTTTCGGACACGAGTATTCGTTGTTGTTGGTTTTCACGAGTATATCCGTGACTTTGTTCTGGTTTGTTACCACTTAAGCTGATTTCAGTGGAGTTAGGGCTGTACCACATGTACGTTTACCGCATGTTCGTCGATGAATTGTGACGTCGAAGGCAATTAAGACAAAACATTTGTGGCCACTCATTTTTACCGTTTTACTAGCTCCGCCAGTCGGGGATATTTCTCGAAATATCCACATGCATAAATGCACGTAAAAAAATATCTATATAACACTTCTCAGTAAAAGTCAGCGTTACTTTCTGGTTGAACGATTTGAGTCACATCTTTTGAAAAGATTCAGACTCGTTGGCTACTTTATAATTTAGAGAAAAAAATTCCACTCATCTTCCATCAGGTTAGATATTTTTAGATTCTGTGGTCTTGTTTTGATGTACACGTAAACCCGAGTGAATGATATGAGAAGTAAACGAGAAAGCAAAACTAATGCTAAGTAGAGCTGCTAGTAGTAGACTGTAAGTAGGCTTGGTCAAGCCTTGATACGAAAGTAAAGTAATTTAAATACCTGACCTTCTTGGCAAGTACTTCGTTTACTTGCAAAAAATCACAGAAACGTTGGACAAACTTGCGGGAGTACTTCATCAAATACTGGTATGAAACACATCTACTATACTAGTCTTATAATTAGTTAGCGCACGATAGTGTCCGTTCTCATAGTTTACTTAGTCAAAATTTGCAAATAACGTTAAATATTTCTGTTACAAAGATCCAAAGTGTGACTCAAAATTGACGGAAAACAATCATTCGACTGAGTTGAGTAACACTCGAAGTACTCCAAGAAACTTTGTATTTTTATAAGTGTATTTGTATAATATTTTAGAAATTTAACAGCAGTTCACTCTGAAACTGTAAGATTGGAGGTGGTGCAGTGAAGAAAATAGATTTAAGTAAGAAATATAGCACTGCGCAGTGCTATATTTCTTACTTAAAACTATAAGATTGTTTCTAACCAACTAGTTTCATTAAAATTCACGATGGTATCCTGTATTTTCTTTCCAAGGTTAATCTAACGTCATTTTTGCAGTTATAAAGTGATGTTAGATTATCTTTTAGAGTATCTTGATAATTAAACAAACAATGACAAAACTTTATTATCATCTACTAATTGAATATATTTTTGTTATGTGCCTATAAATATCTGCAAGTATAAATACAAAAGAATTTAAAGTTTTTGGACGTTAGAAAATGAGGATAATTTGTACTGGTTTTAAATAATATGTCGCTGGTGTTTGTTTGTGGCCAATGTAAACGTCACTATGACAACCGCACAAAATGTTTTCATCTAATGATAAAAATTTATCGTATACACATGATCTGGGATTACTTCGAAAAAATCCTCACACGTCCTCTTTTCTGAAGGTTTTAACGAACATTTCAAAGCATACAGATTTTAGCAGGAGAAATATTTTATCATTGTGTTTTCTTAAAACAAATATATATAGCACAATGGCATTATCATATAGACACAACAATGAACTAAAAATTAAAGCTCGAAATTTAGCACTAGTTGCGGTTGATCCAATCGATAAATTACGTGCCGCATGCTTTAAACGTGGAGCGACGGGAATCAAAGGATTAGCAAGGTAAGATTGTTTCGTTAAAGCTAATCCAAAAAGCAACATTGAAGAGATCAATGACAAAGGAGTGATTTCATACCACATTTATATTGATTTTGTGCTCACAAGCTGGAACTCTTTTTAGTTGTGGGCCCGATATTAACTAATGTCATGTATACGATATTGGTTAATATTGCCCCCACATCTGAAAATAGTTTTTTCAAAGCTTGTTGAGAGACCATTCTACTAGAAAAGAAAATTTTGTTTTAGATAGCGCATTGGAACAAGGCTAGGTAACATAAATCATGTGTGTACTGGTGGCACTTGTGTATTTTGCATTTTATTATAAATTACACAAACTAAACTTCACTGTTTTTTTAATCGCTTTTTTATTAACTGTTTCGCATCTATCCTTTTAAGCAGTATACATTTTGATTAAGAATAACTTCACATTGATTTTGAGATGAGTTCACCTCGGTGATATCCTGTGTTATATCAAAATCTCTTTCACAAACTGCTTTATTCATCACCATTCATTTTAGTTGTTTGATGTGACTGCTATGTTTACTGTTATTCATCTGCCTGTTATTCGTAACGCCTCCATAGACATGTTGTCTTTTCTAGGCTGTTTCATATAATCGACGACGATAATAGCAAAACATTGTCAGCGGAAGAATTTGAAAAAGGAATTAATGAATATGGTCTTGGTTTTACACACGTTGAAATATCGGAAATGTTTAGAAAATTTGATGTTGATCGAAGTGGTACGATCAGCTTTGATGAATTTTTAACTCAGTTACGAGTATGTTGAGTGTCGATGTGGTGTATTATTGCTACGAAAGTATTTTGTTAATTTCTTTTTGTTCTAGCCTCCAATGAACAATTATCGAAGAGAACTTGTTATGCGAGCATTTCGAAAATTGGTAAGATATTTTGAATTTGTGTTGATAAATATGTCATTTATGATTTCTCTCAGCGTTCAGTTGACTGAGTTCAATATTTCATCAAACCTTGTAAGAGTTTTTGAAGGACACGCTGTATAATTAAATTTTAAAGAAGCAGTCTTCTACCAATTATTTATCAGTAATATGAAAGGTACACCTTTTATTGTATCTCTCTAGGATAAGAATGGTGATGGTGAAATTACTGTGGACGATTTACGCGGTAAGACATTATATTTATTAGTATTATAGTTAATACAATCGTCAGTATCTTAAACAATCCTTTAAGGTGTTTACAATGTCAAATCGCATCCAAAATATCAAAATGGAGATTTATCACAAGACCAAATATTAAAACAGTTTTTAGATCGATTTGATACTCCAAATCTTGGAGACGGTATCGTAAGTTACACAGTTGTTTTTACCAAAGAAGACCGAGAAAATAGTATAATAGATAGGGATTATATGTTTATTTAGATAACAAAAGAAGAATTTTTAAATTATTATTCTGGCGTTAGTGCCAGTATTGACAGTGATGCTTATTTCGATCTAATGATGATAAATGCATGGAAACTGGATAGCCGATGAAACATGACATTAGCACAGTATAATATCGTATTAGGTCGTAATCAAATTTATACACTTCAATATTTGTAGACGACATGAAAGCTATATTTGATTGACTAATTTATGAGGATAATCTAATTTTTTGTTTAAAATTTATTAAATGATAGTTTTCGTGCTTTTGTTTTGATAATGAAAGTACTTTTCTGTAATACTGTATCAATGTACTTTATGCTTAAGATGCTAAATTTTAAAATAAAAAATATTTCATCCTGTTTTCGATAGTTTTTTCTGTTTACTCTTGTAACATTTTTCTTCCAATTTATTCTGAATCAAAAATATCTCATTTTTTCTCCTTTAGATATAAACGCGATATGGCAGCCACAAGTCGATTACAAAAAGAATTACAAATAAAAGCTCAACAAGCTTTACAAACTAGTACAGATCCTTTGGAACGATTACGTGCAGCATGTTTAGCACGAGGCGCACAAGGAATCAAGGGTCTTTCAATGTAAGTATTTGACTAACATTTATCGTACAGTTGTGCTAATTT